TCCTGCCACTATTACTGTTATCACCGTTACTACTACCGTTATCTACTGGTACTATCACTGCTGATAAAGGATATAGGACTTGAATTGAATTAAATGTGATATGATCAGTGAAGAAGTTAGATTTGAAGATGAAAAGTAATGATGGAATTGTTAGAACTGAATAGCAATAATGATGGAAATGAATGAGTGCTTAATATGCTACAATAACATAGTAATAATAATTAATAGCTATATTTATAATATAATAATAATGCAGTAATTTTAGTTGAAATGTAAATAATATATAACATTATGTAATTAGGAAACTAATAAGCATCTGATAAGTTAAAATTTGATATTCCAGTACTACATTAATTAATGGACAGCAATAATCAATCCTTTATCCATTTTAATCATAGCACGAATTGATTTATAAAAGTTTTAAAAGAAAAAATAATTTTCAAATTTATAATATCAAAAAATTGAATTCAAAATGCAACTATGTAAAAATTTAAAATAGAGTAATCTGAAATTTAAATAAAGTGTAAAAGAAATTGCTTAAAATTTTTAGGTCTAAAAAATGAAGAAAGAGAAGACAATGATTAATTGATATTTTTAAATCATTTAAAATGGGACATTTTCTTAATCGAAAGTATTATTAAATGTAAAAAAAATGAAGAGAACAAAAATTGGTATTTGTTTAAAATGTCAATGGCACTTTTAAAGGTATCAAAAGGTTGAATATGATATGATAGGGATGTGAAGAGAAAAAGGCAGTGGTTTGTTGTCGTTGTTGCTGAAGCTGAGAGAAGTCAAATAACAGGCGGTAATGGGAAGGAGAAGTTGAGGAGAAAGAAAAAAAAAGAAAAGACAATTAATAGCCATAATTCTCGATTAATATTTACAATAATAAATATTCCTCTTGAAAAAATATGGTGTATATATTGAAAATATTTAATATAAATAAAATTTAAATTTGAATTAGTCATAAATTTATTTCCAACATTATATTTGTTCATTGTCCTTATTTCTTCTTTTTTCATAGGAAAAACTTTTAATCATTAATAAAAAAAAAAATTTTATTGTCGCTAAATCTCATGTGGGCATTCACATGATTATGGTAATCTATCTTTTAATTTTTTAACTTTAGATTGCGAATTTTGAATACTATTTCGCTTTTCTCTTTCATAATGAAGGATTAAAATTTTGAAGTAGAACTATAATGATAATTTAACATAAATTTTTCGTTTTTTTTAAATATTATCTTAATTTTTCAATTCCTATCATAAAAAATATTAGATGTAACTCTTATTTTTCTTTTGTTTTCCTATGTGTTTGCTTTTCTTTTAATTTTCATTTTTTTCAACTTTTCTCATTTGTTATATTTCATTTGCTGTATTGGTTGACATTTAATTCATTTACCTGTTCTTCTTGTCAATTATTATCTTTCCATAGAAGGAAAAATTGTCAGGTAAGTAAATTGTAATAAATTTTTCTCTTAAAAAGTAACTTTAAAATAGAAAAAAAAATGCAGTAAGAGAAATATTGAAATAAAATAGGGGTGAAATTAAATTACAAAAGAGCAAATTAAAACAATAAAAAATTTTTAATCGAGTAATAAGTGACGTTACAAGTAAAATGATAGTTAAAATAAGGAATATCAAGAATCAAATACTTTACCATTTACCTAATACAAACAAACTTTTCATAGAACTTCAAAAGTAAACAATCAAATTAATTCTTTCACTCTTATTAACATTCTTTTACTCTTATTTACTCCCTTTTCATCGGATTACTTTTTACCATATCACTTTATTTCATTCTTAAGCTATCATTTAAGAAAATAACACTTAAATATCGAAAAGTACCTTTGAAGTTCTATGACAGTAATTTTGTTGTTCATTTATTTTGATTTGACTCATAATTAATTGTCACTCAATTCTTCTCAATTATCGAGTAACATTCCCTGAAATACATTTATGGCATTAAATTGAATTACCAGAAAACATAATAAAACGGGAAACATTAAATATAATATATATTATATTTTTTTTTTTGAGGTATGAAAGCAATTATATAGGTATAGCTGATTCATTAACAACAATAAAGAATATGACTCAGCTAAATAATCGTCAAAACAATACAATAGTTATTATCATTATTATCATCACGTTGTCATCTTTCATTATCAGACATGATGATTAGCATAACCTTTCAGCACAACTATCATTGTTAGGTTAACTCATTTGTTTTTATTATTTATCATTGATATCTTAATAATATTTGTTATTGGTTGATTAAATGTTATTACTACTAACTATGCTTGTCTATGTTAAAACAAAAAAAGATAAGTAAATAAAACAAGCAAATACTAGTAGATAACAATAGACATTCACTTACTTGGAAAATTATGATTTACATATATTTGTGTATTGATTAAGCAAAATAAACATAAATTAAAAAGTTTGCAAAAAATATGAAAAACCTGTTAAAATAGTAAATAAAACCAAAAGAAGAGAAAGAGAAGAGAATAAGAGAGGGAAAAAAAGGAAAGATATATTACAGGTATAGAATAGGTATGATCTTAAAAATAGTAAATAAACGACAGTTTTTTCTTTCGAAAGATAGAATTGGATGAATGTCCTTGGTAAAATGGTAATTTAACGATGAGAAACGAACTTCTATTTTCATTCATCTCTGACCTACCTCAGCTCTTCTTCATTTGGTCATTATCGGAATGAATGACCTGTGGCTACTACTATGCTGTCTATCTCATTCAATTTATCCTGTCTCTGACCAATCCACCACAAAGGTTAACACTATTGCAGGTGTCCAATCAAAAAAAAGAAAACTATACAAACCATCAACACTGCTACATTTCTTCAGACAACTATATCTACCTGTCCATCTATGCATCTATGTCTGTCCATCTTTATTTGTTATACAATTTTGCATGTTTGTCTGCCCTAATCACTGGTATTTCCAATTTTATTTTTCTTTTTTTTTACATACTTTGGTCATCTTTTAGTAAGATAGTAAGCATCTGCTCAATCAATATTTTTTACTAGTCTTTTCATTTAAATGAAGGGATGAAAAAAAAAAAAGAGAAAAGATGACAATAGATGAAAAAAAGTGGTAGTGTAAGGGTCACAATTAAGCACAAAGTAAATCGATTTTTCCGTTCATTCATTCAAAAATCGGACAAAAAAAAATCATAAATTTGAATAATTTGTTCATTGGTTGAATTCTTTTTCTCTTGCATTTGATTATTTCAGTTACCTTAATTCAATTTTTATTTTAGTCCAAAAATTCAAATGCTTTACTAGAATTCGATTTTTTTTTTCTTCTAAATTATCAATAAAATAATATTTCATGCGAAAGATAATTGTCCAATTTTTCAACATTTTTCAAAGAATTAAATTGATTTTTCATTTATATTTTCCTTACAGTCATTCATTCTCGAGTAATTTCAAATAATTGGTTGATTAATTTAATGGAAACAACGAAATCATGTCATGATATTTCAGATGAAAGACCGCAAATAATCGACAAGTAAAGAAAAAAAGAGAAAAGTGATGGGCAACGAGAAATTTTAATATAAAATGATAATATGCAACGATTTACACTTTCGCTCAATGCAATAATTTTGTACAAATATGCGCTCAATTTGTTATCAGCAAATCAATATTATCACTTAGCTTCTGATAACATTATGCTTTGAGCTATTTTATTGGTATCACGTTGATCCTTCATTGTTTATTTATTCAAAGAAATATCACATATCTATTTTACTACTGTCAACATCATAAACATACAGTGCCATAATTAATAAACATTTTAGTTTCATAGATAATTTCAACTAGCAAATAAGTAATGAATTTCAAATAAAATAATTTATCAAACTTATTGCTATTAATATATAGTCCCTCTCTAAAAAAAAATAATTAAATAAATGAAATAAATTAATAAAAAATCAAGAAAAAAAGAAAAAAAAGTATTTTCGTCAATCAAAAATTTACAATATTAATTATATTAATTGTTTTCATATATTATTTTAAAAGAATTACCCATAAGATTATCAATTGTTGGTTTACTGATGAAAGCAACATATAATTTATTTGTATAGATAGCAGATGATTAGTAAAGCGGATAAGTGATATACGGTAAGTAAGTAAGCTAGTAGTAATGGATAAAAGAATAAACGAGTCAAAGGGTACTTCATTTCTTTGAAATAACACAAAATCCTCTTCATTAGCATATTTTTGATGTTACCTCTTGATTTTTCTCAGCACATGTCCTCATTTTCTTCAAACTCTTCCTGTTTTCCGTTTTATTTGTTAGAAATTTAAAACTTTTTCTTTTTTTTATGAATTTCTTCCAGCGTTTTAAAATTTAAAACTTTCCTTTTCAATATTTCATAAAAATTTTTAGTTATCATATTCAGGATTGATACTAGAGAGAAGTGATGTTATTTGATTTACTTTTGATGAGCAATAATGCTTTAATAAAAAAATAATTTATTAATTTTTGATTGGTTACAAGGAAATATTTAATTCATTTAAATAAATTAATTAATTCAAGAAATAAATAAATATTCATTCAAATAAATTTACTAAATTTATTTAATTGATTACAAAAATTTGTTTAATTTATTCAACTAATATATTTTATGCACTTAATCGATTACAAAAAGTGATTGCAATTGACCTTACCATACAAATTGTTAGCCTTATTTTTTCTTGAAATTTCGAATTTGAAAGATTAAAAAATGTTGTTGGTATTTTAATAAATAATGTTTGTAGGTTTTCAAATTTAACAGCTTAAATTTTTAGATCTTAACATATTAGTGTTAAAATTGCATCAACTGCTTTTCATATTTATCCAAGATTTGCCCATTCAACTATCCATTGCATCGATTACGACATATCCGGAAATTGGTTCACGTTCAGGATGCAACACCATATTGTCCATCTTACTAAATAGCTAACAATTAGCGCATTACTGATTGATAAGCTGTTACCATGTATGGTGTCAAATTTCCTTCCCTTTATTCGTCAAATGCGCCATCCCACTCGTTTTTGCATACGGTAATCCAACTAATCCATCGGTAATTTCTAATATTATTGATTGATACATTTTAAAATCCTAAAGAATTGCTGATTCATCTACTTGCGCAATTTGATAAAAGCATAGTTTGCACTCGCCGAAATTAGAGGAAAAAAAATTATTTATAGAATTTATTTAAAAGAAATTATTTATAAAATGGATAATTAGTATATTGAAATGTACGAATAAATGATTCATTATTTCAATGAGAATTTATAAAAAAATTTCTCAATGTAACTTTTCAGATGGAAATGATTGAATCAATGCGAATTTGTTTTGGAATAAAAAAGCAAAATTTAAAATAAAAATTTTTTTTTAGCCCTAATTTTTAATCTATTACTTTTACAAATGAAAGTTTTAAAATGTTATAGACAGATTGAGCAGCAAAAAGGAAGGACTGTTAGTGACCATTTGAGAGGAATGGATAATCCAATTGTTGTAACGTCCGAAAACTGGGCATTTTGAGGAGTGTGTCAACCAAATCATCCCGATGCATAATGATTAGCATTTTCGACAAATTTGGTAATTGAATTTCAAATCAATCCTATTAATCGTTTAAATTCATTTATCGCCAATTTAGCATCTTGTTTAAAGCTAATGGTTAGTTGATGATTTATTTCATTCAAATTAATATTTGATATTAACATTATCAACATTTCGTTCAAATTAATATGTGATATAAACGTTATCTATATTATGTTTAAGAATAAACGTTATATTATGTTAAAAAAAAAGAAAAAAAAAAGAATCGCTCAACTTCTTTGCATAATATTGGAACAAAAAAATGAAAAAAAGAAACTTGTTACATGAAAAAAAATTTTGAAAAATTAGTCGGAAAATTTTTTTTTTTTGAAGACACAATATAGAAAGAATTTAGCATTCTGTATTTTTAATTGTGAAATTTATTTTATGCTTAATTATTGTTATTATCGTCTATATCAAGTTAATTCTACTATTACTGATATAACAAATAAATAAACATATGTATATTTAGCTTGATAAATTCTAGGAATTGAAATTTCGTACTGAATTTTGATGGAAAACAATAAAATAAAAGTTTCCATTTCTCTCAATTTTAAAGCATATTGTTAGAGCGGTAAGTGATGATAATTTCATCAAAACTTGAATAAAAACGTGTAGATTGAATTGGATCATACTGGTAAGAAATATGCTGGTAATTTCATTCTTCAAAAGAAAAGGAAAAGAAGAAAAATAATAACTGGTATAGCAAATGATAATAATATGAACTCTATTTATTAATGGACTTTCTTATCACAAAATAATCGACCCATCGTTTGGTTTAGTACTTTCTTTCAATAGTATAAATCATTTAAGTTTAACACCGTTCCTTGTTGAATACTTATTTCAACACAAGTTGATAATAGTGGTTCACGTGTTTCCCTGATTATCACCTGTGCAATTCTGAAATTCATAATTGATAAAGTCCACACTATATTAATTATGACATAGCAATAGCAATGACAGCTAATTCTTTGAAACGTACGTGAAGAAAAAATGAAATGAAATAGTATATCTTTTGATAAACATAACAAATCATTCAAAATGATGGTGATTAATTAATACAATTAATTAGTAGTGCAATTAGTGTGAGGAATATTTTTAATTATTAGCTTACTCATAATGTAATTAATGTTTTTTTCGTACTAAACAAATTAATGCAAACCTCAACATATTCTGTAGTATATTAATTTTATTAATAGTGGAACTATTTTTAAAATTGAAAACAATTTTTAAGCTAAGTTGTATGTTTTAAATGACTCAAATAGTTTGCAATAATTAATTTTTATTTCAATGTTAAATCTTGCAAATTTTTATAGTACTAATAAGACAATAACACTTGTATTACTAGTTTATTGTGGCTTCTTATCGACTCATTGTAGCTCTTATTAGCTTAATGTGATGTCTGCTGCAAAATTATTTTATCGAATTATTGTAAAACGTACTTATTGAACTTATTGTAAAAACATTATTGAATTATTGTAGTTATCAACTGCAATTATCAACTTACGCATACATTAATTTTTATTAGAGAAGTTGAAGAAGTGAATGAATGATACTGTTAAAAGCACTGCCTATCAAATGAACTCATTTTCATTCCTTCTATTGTCACTGTTGTTGTTTTGATAGGTTATTGAGCTGATAAATTTATTGCAATACAAAATTATCAAAAAAAAAAGCTTTTAATTTGATGAAAATGAAAAAAAATGGAAACAAAATAAAAAGAAAAATTTTGATAATATTTGAAGGGATCAATTGGTTGAATATACTTGTGAGAAAAATTAATCGATTAATTTAAAAAAAAAAAGTGGACAAAAAACAAATTTCATTGAACGATAGAGTATGAATAAGTTTAAATTTATTCTTATCAACATGAATTATTGATAAGCAGATATTGCGATAAATCATATTTGTGATATTGAATTTTAGCACACTAATTAATTACAACAATACTAATTAAGATCAATGGCGAGAAGAGAAGAAAAAAATAATCCAAAATTCGTAGCAAAAAAGAAGCGATAAACAAGAACAAGAAGAAAATGAATAATAATTAAAAATGCTGATTGAAAATATATCATAACAAATGTTATGATTGATATAGGCGATAATGATGATAAATAATAACAATAAATTTTGGGAAGATTAAGTGAAGGAAGAGGGTACGGTAGTTGTGAAATGGAAATAAAATGGGATGTGCTATGCTATCGTGTCCCGTTGTTGTCATTTTGTTAAAGAGGAAAATTTCCGGAGGGAGTGAAAAGGCTTTGAGGAAGGTTAGTCCTTCAGGGAATAAAATAAAAATAGGATGGATGATAAGCATATATATATATATATATACGTGTGTAGTAGATATGGATGGATATATGGTAAAGCATATATTTAGATAATAGAAATCATCAATGATAGACATCAGATTACGGTGATTTTGAATCAAAAAAAGGAAACGATGAAAAAAGGAAGGAAAAGAGAAGGAAGAAGAGGAAAAGAAGGAATGAATGAAGGAAGAGAGAGAGAGAGGAAGAGAGAAGGAAATGAAAGGGAAAGAGGGAGGAGATTTTTCATAAATTATGTTGCAATGGATGGAGTTTTAGCTTCACCCTTTAACAAATAGGCTTGACGCAAAAGGCTAGAATTCGTTACAAATCGTCATCATCATCATCATCATCATCATCATCATCGTTATCATCATCATCATCATTATTATTATCATCAAAAGAGCTTGAAGAATATGCTTCGTTAAGGTTCACTTCAATTCTTTACTCTATTATAAGCCTTAAGCTTTCCAAACTGCTTCATCTTCATCTTTTATTATAGTCATTCTTATCACCACCATACTTACATCAACATTAACAATATCATCATCATCGTCACCATTATTATTATTATTATTGGTGATGATAAAAAAAAAAAAAAAAACCCTAACTAACCATTTCAAAAATTTCATACCTAACGGCATAAATGCATGTGTATATTCATCATTATTATAATTTATCTTAATTTTTTTTTTGTACATATATGTAAATATATTTATGTTTATTATTTTTATCCCTTTTCCTTTCTCATTTATCAGTTGTGAAATAACTCTAAAAATTATTTTAAATAATTTTCTGCAATTCCTTTTCTTTTTCCTTTCTCTTAACATCCACATGCGGGGAAAAAAAATTTACATTTAGTGAAGTAACATTGATTATTACCAAAATTATTATTGATATTATTGCTCGTTATTATCATCGTTATGATCATTATTACAACCGTTACTATTAGGCATTATTTACTGATGTATTGAAGAAAAGGAAATAATAAGTAATTTACGCTCAATAAAAGCGATTTCACCTATTTACGATTATTACGGAAATGGAAATTCATCATCGCTTATTCGAGAAATCTATTAATTATAATACTACAACCATTGCTGCTGCTAATAATCTTATACCGATACTTTGTGATACAAATGATGCATCAAGAATTCCGGAAAACAGTAATTTTGGTGCATGTACGTCATCGTTAATTAATAATACCGATGCATTCGCATCACTTAATCGAACAACACTTAATATTAATGAATTTCCTGGTTACAGTAATACTTCAACTGGATTACTTAATCATTCAATAAAATCCGATTTATCACTTGATTTGTCGACCACAGTAGCAACACGAGCTGTTGCTCTAGCAGCTGAAACAACCCCTAACGAAATAAAAAATGATTTAAATGTTAATAATCATCATCATTGTCAACAACAACAACAACAACACCAACAATCTGAACAAACATTAACATTACAAAATGCGGAAAATAATATTTGCGCAATTGTTGGAACACTAACAGCAGCTTCATTACAATCTGATCAAAGCAATACAACAATGATTATTACCACTAATAGAAGCAGAAATAGCAGTAGCGGAAATGATGGCGCAAATGTTAGTAGTAATAATAGCAACTGCAGTTGTACAATAACAACGGCTAATGAACCAAAATTTTCACATCGAATTTCAAAGGTGTCTTATTTTTAATACTTTTTTATCTTTTTTCTTTTTCTTTTAATTCTTTACGTTTCTTTTTTTTCGTCAGTGGTACGCAATAAAGCTTAAAGATTGCAGTTTTTTTTTTTTTTAAAGTAAGTGCCTTGCATTAAACATTTCTACTTTATTTTATTTAAGCGATTTAAAATTTTGTATTTGGTTAATAATTTTTCCATTCCATTGATTTATTCATTCAAATTTTAGATATGATTGAATTAATTTATAAATATAATATTCTATTTTGCAAAATATGCGGGAGGGTATGATTGGATTTATGAAATAGAATTTAAATGACCATTAGTTGAAGTTTAAAATTTGATAAATTAAATTAATTAATTAATAGAAATTAATCAATTTGTATAGCTCTTATGACATTAACTTATATAAGGATGAAAATAAGTTATGACTACATATAGATTTGGTTTTAATGTATGAGCATAATTTGAATGAAAATTACGTATAAGTTAATTAATTAATTGAAAAGCAAAGTTAATTAATTAATTGAAAAGGCACCGAAGAAGTTATCACATTATTTCTTGACAAAAACAAAAAACAAAAAAAAAATGAATAATACTGTTAGTTCAATTGTGAATACAAAAAAATTTTTAGCATTAACTGAAACAGTTCAAAACACCCAAGAAATATATCTAAAAAAAGTAAATTTTCAAATAATATTACAAATGGTTTATTATTAACTTTATCATTAAAATATTACAAATGGTTTATTATTAACTTTTCAATAATTTCGAAATTATTAGTATTTTAAAAATTATACTGCATAGAATAAAAATCCCATAAAACATACATAATTTATCTTCTTTCATACTATAAGATATATATCAATTAGATATTATTACAAAATCACTCATACAAAAAATCTAAACTCTCAATTTTTATTCATCGTAAATTGTCCACACAAAGTTCCG